CAGCTCCGCTAAGCCGACCGGCACCCAACATAATCCAAGGGGAGTGCGGGGGTGGTGGTGGACCCAAGCAGGGCCAGCTCCGCAAGTCTCAGCCTGTATATTTGAGCAAAGACCCCGGGGTGGGAGTCGTCCCATGGCGCTGCCTTTGCCTTCTCGATGCACCTCACCAAAGGAACTTTGAAGGTGGCCTTGCTATTCAACCGCCTTAACTCAGCAAATTTCCCGAGTGCCGCTGGATGACAAGAGCGCTGGGCGCCAAGGTCTATATCTTCTCCCATGACTGCCCACCTGTCAGCCCTTGGGTTGGCCAAAGAGCTGAAGGTGAATCTAACCCAGGCCAAATCCCTGGAATCTCAAAGAGAGAGTTTGGAATTAGGGAAGGGAGCAGTGAGACCCTGAGTAATTGGGGAGGAGCTCTGGGTAGGAGGCTACAGCCTGGAGCAGAGATCACTGGGTCCCAGTTGCCTCCTTTAGGGGTTCAAGAGGAATATGACAACAAGCACTCACTGGGTGAAGTTAGTCCATAGCAAAATTACTGGTCCTCAAGGATCTTCTCTAGTACTCTGAGGGAAGACTCTACTAGAGGGGTTGGGAATGGGAACTTATCACTGGTGCTGGGGGTGGATTGTCTCAGGGTCTATGAGTAGGCAGGCCTGGAGCAGAGATGCCAGGAGGCAGTTCTGGGATAGATGTGATGAGGGATGGGGTGCAGCTGGCAAAGGGGTTTCCAGGTAGGCATGAAGGTCAAGGTGGATCCAGACCTCTGGAAAGTGGAGGGGAGCTGGGGCATTTCCACTTGAGTGGAAGTTTCTTGAGGGCCAGAGGTAGGAAGTAGGCCAGTGCTGGGAAGGTAAATGAGGGACCATTGGCCTCTCCTGTGTTTCAGTGCTCCACCAGCTGGGTGGAAAGATGGCTAGGATGGAAGACTTACTGTCATGAAGTGAGGTGCTACTCGTCCCATTGGCTGCAGGCTGTAGCCCCCTTTCTCCCTTCTTCCTTGTCACACTCCTAGGACCCCTTGGGTCCATGGTTGGCTATAAAGCACAGGTCTTGCCTGTGTGGACCCTAACTTCCAGACACACAGATACTCACTCCTCAGTGCACTGAGCTCTGGAGGAGGTTGGTCTCAAAATCTCCACTACCCAATTCCCTTCCTGGGTCCTCCTCATCCACCCTCAGCCTCCAGAGTTCATTTTTTTCTCTCTCTCACTCTGGCTTGGAGCACCAATCTCCCCATTAAAAGGAAGCTGGATCCAGAGCTCTGTGCTAGGCTGAGGAAGAGCCCTGGGCTGGACTGCCCCCAGTAGCCTCCCCAGCCACCACCCTCCTCCTCCTCTGGAGGCTGCAGCACTCCCTGCTTTCTGCCCGAAGCCCCTTCCCAGCCTGCAAGCTGGGCTTCTGCTCTCTCTTAATTCCCTCCTTCCCTCCCTCCCTCTCCCTGAGCGCTGAGCTGTGGAGCAGAATGATTTCCTGTAATTGGCCAGCAATCCGGCAGCCCGACTTGTTCTATCGACATGCTGGTTAGCTGGAAATTGTATTGGAATCTGAGTGACGGGGAGGGAAGAGGAAGGTGGGGAGCAAAGAGAGGCGGCTTTGGGTCCCAGCTGGGTGCAGCCTCAGCTCTGTGGGTGGGATGGAGGTGCCACCAGCCACCTCTCTCCTTTCCTGGAAGAAGCAGGAAAGCAACCCTTGGCACCCCACACCTTCCTCTTGTTCCTTCTCTCTCTTCATTTCCAGGGAGTCTCCTTTGCCCACACCATATGCCTTTCCCATGTGCTCCCCTATGGCCTGAATCATCTCTGCCACCCCATTCCCTTTCCTGCTCCGGGACTGTTCCTTCTGGCTTAAAATGCCTTTATGAGAAGTAGGCGCTCTCAGCAGTTGGGCTATCCTTCTCCCATTCAATTTCTAGCCATAGAGGCTCATAGTGGGGTATCCCAGATGTACCCTGCCCCTCCCTACCAAAGAGACTGAACATCTTAAGAGTTGTTGTCGGCTCGGCGCCTATAGCTCAACCGGCTAAGGCGCCAGCCACGTACACCTAAGGTGGCGGGTTCGAATCCCCAGCCCAGACCCGCCAAACAACAATGACGGCTGCAACCAAAAAAAAAACGGCCGGGCGTTGTGGCGGGCGCCTGTGGTCCCAGCTACTTGGGAGGCGGAGGCAGGAGACTCGCTTGAGCCCAGGAGTTGGAGGTTGCTGTGAGCTGTAATGCCACGGCACTCTACCCAGGGGGACAGCTTGAGGCTCTGTCTCAAAAAAAAAAAAAAAAAAAAGAGTTGTTGTCAATTACCAGCTAAAGCACCCAGATGTGGTTAATGGGGACAGTGCAGCCGGGGGAGCACTGTGTTAGGAGTCCAGAAGCTTCTGCCTGTTGCTCAACCTCGGAGCCTCTGTAAAATTCTGGCCCCATCTCACAGAGCTGAGAGATTTCCAGGAGATAAATGCGTGAATGTGCTTTGTAAACTAAAACTCTGAGAAATACCCTCGGGCCAGCCTGGTGGGGAGGTAGTTTTAGGGGCCTTTCTGTGCTCTTTATTTCCGCCAAAGGCAGGCGCGCGTGCAGCCCTCGCCGGGGGCTCCAGAGCTCCCCGCCGGTAGGAAGACCCAAGTGGGGATCCGAGCGCCAGCGCCGGGCGCGCGGCTGGAGGCTGGAAGCCCCGTGGGTCCCGCGCCTACATGTAGCTCCCGCGGGGATGGGGGTGGGGACACGTCCCTCGGCCCCTTCAGCGCCCGGGCGAGAGGAAGTGGAAGAACAACGCAGCCTTCTAATTAGCGCCCGGGGCCAGGCGGTGCGTTCGCAGCAGCCGCTCGGCCGGGATCTGAGGCGGCGGCAGGCCCGGAGGGAGAAAGTTACCAAGCGCCGGGTGAGCACCCTCCGCCGAGGCCGGGCCCAAGCCGGGCGGGTGCTGCCACCTGCCGGCGGGAGAGGAGGCCGCCGCTGGGGCGCAGGGCTGGGCTCTAGAGGGAAGGAGGGCTGCAATTTCCCCAAGTTTTCCCATGTCCCCCAGGGAAAGCAGGCCTTCTTTCAAGGCAGCCTTGGACCACCACACCTGGGAAGAGAGCTGGAGAGGAGGGAAGCCTGAGGAGCGGGAGTGGGAGCCTGGCCACACCAGGACTGGATTCCTTGTTTTCCCATGCCTCCCAGCCCAGCCATCCTTTGACATTCTCACATTAAACTCAGCAGACTGGGTCAGGGAAGCTAATTCTTGGGAACTTTAGAGTTGACAAGGGGTTTTCACTGTACTCCATTGATCATGCCCGTTTATCACCACCAAGAAGCCTGCTTGAGAGCAGACACTGAATGTAGACGGGTCAGATCATAGCAGCAAGAGACAGGAGACAGAGCCAGGACCCAATACCAGGCCTCCTGCTCCCCATGACAAGCAGCTCTAGGCCCAGTGGGCAAGTTCAGAAGCCTGGCTTGACCAGATCAAATTTCTCCCTCTCTAGGATTAGGAAGGGAATAATCAATGTTATGTTAACTCTTCAGGGTATCACACATCAGCACAGTGTCTGGCATACCACAGATGCTCAGGAAAAGCCATTTCCTCAATTACTGGGGTGACAGAGCACTGTAAGGGTCCATACCTTCCCTTTCCTCTCTCCACTCCTGCCAGGTCCCATCTGACTGGGAAGCAACAGGCTCCTGCCATTCTCATCTTGCCTGGCTACCTACCCACCAGCTCACCTCCACCTTACCCAACTCTTCTTTTGCCTCTTGGGGCTTTGCAGTCAGTTAATGAGCTGATTTCTGAGGTATGGACAGCTCTGGGAAAGGGGGCACTAAATATGGCCACTATAGCATTCCCATCTGTCACACTCATTTCTGGCCTTAATAGGCTGTAAGCTGCAGGATCAACACATCAGCAGGTCTGCAGGCTCTGGCAGGGGAAGGCTGATGTCTGCACTGGTCTAATTGGGTGAGGGAAGGAAGATGTAACAGTGGAGTAAGAGGGAGTGATGCTGCCTGGCACCTCCATCAACCTACCACAAAGGTATCTAGGACCTGGCTGGAGTCTTCCTGGGGTGCAGGGAGAAGACAGCTACTGTTCCTCCTGGGGCCCAGGAAATGAGGGGTCTAGGCTCCAGTGTGGGAAGAAGCCAAGTGTAGCCTCAAATGGCATCAGCCAAGTCTGGGAACTTTGGTTGGTCCAGAGCATTTCAGACTAACACACTTTATTAAGCACCAAGAGTGAGCCAGGCTCTACACGAAGAACACAGAGATGAATAAGTCACTGTTCCTGTCCTCAAAGGGCTTACAGTCTAGTAGAAGAAACCAACCAGCTTTTGGCAGATTAGTGTACTGTGGATTAAGGTAAAATGGGTGTAGGGGAGTGGTATCCCAGAACACCTAACCCAGCCTGGGGCTTCAAATGGTACCTGAGCTGGGAGTTAGCCAGTTATAAGAAAAAAGAAAAGGTATTCCAGGCAGGGGAGCAGCTGGACAAAGGCACAGAGGTGAGGAACAGCATGGTGCATGAGGAAGACCAAGAGTTCAGGGCTAGGAATGCAGAGTGGTGAGAGGCAGTGGGCAGGGTGTGGGGAGCACTGGAGAAATCTCATGGTGGGATGGTAGGCCTCTGCGTGGCTACAGCATTACCCACACTGCATCTTGGCCAAAGGCTTCAACCTAGGGCAGAGCCCTGTTGAACCACACTTGAAAGTAGAAATACTGGCTCGGTGCCTATAGCTCAACCGGCTAGGGCGCCAGCCACGTACACCTAAGGTGGCGGGTTCGAATCCCCAGCCCGGACCTGCCAAA